TTATTTATATTTTAATTTATTATTAACTTATTATTCAATTGTTATATTTATATATTTTTTTACGGGTTATTTAAGAGCTACATGCAACGCTATTCAATTATATTCGCGATATGAAGCAGGAGTGTTATTATTCACATAAAAAAATCATGAAACATTTGCTACTTTTTAACATACTTATTTCTTAGCAGAATTACTCTCTAAATCTCGTAGAATGGAATCTCATTCGAAAAGATAAGAAAAAAGAGTAAAAATACCATTCTTGTTTAGTAGTATTTTCACTCTTTTTTCAAAACAGGCTAAATTTTAAGTCTCTTCGTGAGATTTCACTCCATGAGATTTAGAGAGTACAGAAAATGTAAGTTCAATAACCTAAATCTTGATCATTTGTCATAATTAATTTATTATTAAAATTAAATTAATAGATTATATTATTAAAGTTTACTTTATATTTTTTTTATGATTAAATGAATAACAGTTTTAAAAATGCTCTAGTTTCCTAAATCTAACCTTTTAAATCACATGTTACCTTAATATTTTTCTTTTTCTTATATTTTTATTCCATTTATTATTATGTAAAAATGTGTATTATAAACGTAGCAGTGGTTATTTTGTTTCACAGACACTCTTTAAATTACTTTTTGAAATTATTATGCTTCAGAAATTATAAAAAATATATTAAGTTTTTAACAATATAATAAAATACAATTGTGTCTTTTTCGTTTGTAATTTTAAAATTTTTTACATTTTTATGTTTTAAATGAGGAATAATGATATAGTGCGATTTAGGCAACGAATTTCCTCGTTGCCAAAATCGCATCATATTGAAAGAATTCTTATTTTAATACTACAACCGTCGACGATGCCAATTTGATTCCGCCAAAAAATATATAAATAAAAAAATATATAAATATAATTGAATAATAAATTAATAATAAATTAAAATATAAATAAAGCTCTCCATTGATATTAAAAATTGTTAAACCATTCAAAAATATAACTTTTATTAATTTTTTAAGTTAATTTTTTAAGTTATTTGTTAACAGTTTTCCCAATATCAATGCCATTAGAGATTATTCCTTTTATTTTCATTTTTGCATTAAAAATTAAATTTTCAAATGAATTTTTTGTAAAAATGATAATAAGAGATACAACCTCCATTGATTTTGATCTTGATAAATGTTATCCAGGACATGATCTTAAACAATATTCAAGAGGTTTTAACTGTTCGTCGGACATCTTACGTAATGTTAATGCTGGCGGTAATGTAACTTTTAAAAAAAGAACGTGAAGAGAAATAATTTTATTACAGTGTTTTGAAAAGCTTTTAACATCACTAACCTTAACTATTAGATTCTGCTATAAAAAATAGTGTTCCATTAAAAAAAATCATTTGTGATCTTGATTTGACCTTGGCAATGCCCAAGGTCAAATCAATAGTATCTTCTTATATCCTCCTTCAAACCACAACTTTTGTTTGAAACATTTTTCCATATCTTCCATATTTGTCGAAATATTTGCCTGGTTCGATTAAAATGACTCACCCTGTGTATATAATCCCAAATAATGCAAATAATATCAAAATAACATTTTATTAATCGGAAAAATAACAGCCAAATTGGTATTTAGTAGTTCTAGGAAAGTATCAAATTCCGGCGGTTCTAGTGTTAAACGTCATAATAGCGAAAAAAAGTTACGAAAAAATTACATATAAAAAGGAAAAAAGTGCAATTTATTGTGCTGCAAAAATTTAAGAATATTCTTCGTAATTTCTGAGTTATGAACCTTTAAATGAAAAGATATGATTTCGACAATTTTGCTCAATTTTACCTAATTTTACTCAATTTTTAGGTATTTGTCTGCTTTAAAAACACAAACTCTTTGCTTTAAATCAGAAATTCTCTGCTTTAAAAATAAATTCTTTCTCTAAGAACAAAAATTATATAAAAAATAATTTATGTTTTTAAAGCAGAAAATTTTTATTTTTGAAGAAGAGAATTTGTGTTTCTAAAACAGAGAATTTGTGTAACTCTCTATGTCATCGATATGATAGATTTCCTAACTTGAATATCATTTTTAACAATTAATGTCTCGAAAAGAACATAATTTTGAATATGCCATCTAAGCCCCCGAATATTTTTTTAATACTTACATAATTTTATCGTTTGGAATATGATGCTAAACAATAATATGTTAATAATTAATACTAGAACTAGAATAATTATTGCATAATGTTATAGCAATGTATAATGCAATATTTCTCTAATATTGCGGCAATATTTTATTTATCGGATATAGAAATATTGCTACAATATTGCAGCAGTTTTTTATGAAAGATTGCAATCTTTCAAAATAATATTGCTGCAATATTTCGTGCAATATTTATCCGTAGGACATAAAGACGCATGCACATTGGAACCCTTTAGTTTTCTTTCAGACATAGATGATTGTACATTTCGTGTATGGGTGGCGGGTTATTTAATTATAATAAGTAAGCTATACAAAAAGAATAAATATAATAGGTAATGAGAGTCAGCAACGATAAACGGCGCAATTATTTAAACAATCAATAATCAGATATTGGATTGATGTCTTCTTTAGTTTGAACGTATTGATTCTCTTTGGAATCCTCCTTAGCAAGAATGATACAAATATAATTAGCTCACATGTCCGTAATGCTTAAGTCACTCGCAAGTTGCAGCGAAGATGCAGCGTTGTTAATCACCGCAGAACATGAAGCATTGCACTGAAGCTTTATTGAACATATTAAAACTTAAAAAATAGAATTGTTAAGAAACAACATTTTTTTCTTTTCGATTTCTGTTTCCAATGATGAAGAAAAAGGGGCAGAATAAGAATGGGCAGAATAATATAAACGATGAAACGCTAAAAGAAACAAATAGAAGATTATTATATGAATATAATAATAACGAAGCAGATATTTCAATTTAATTTCAATTTCTGTTTGGAATAACGAGGAAAAAAATAAGAATGAGTAAAATAAATGATACATATAATGAGACACCCAAAAGACAAGTAAAGGGCTCTGGATGTTATAACAAAGCAGATACGTCAATTAAATGTTTAGAAATTCTAGATCACGAAAATAAGCAGATGAATTTAATTCTGATGTTTTACTACCTTCAAAATCACAATTCCTAAAACAAAAGTATTGTATAGATCATAGTGAAGTTCAGCTAAATATATACTCTTTAAAAAATGAAGATAATAGCATTAATAAAGAAAATGTACATCCCAAAATATCTAAATTTATGTTATATACGCTTAAATTTTCATGTCCGTTACAATTTTTTGGAGGAATGCATAAAAATTTGAATTCATATGTTATTTATGCAACGATGCAAATATAAAAGTCATTGCAAGTCTTATAGATTCGTTCTCATTAAGCTGGATGAAGAAGTATGTACATTTTTTCATCTCTGGTACACAATGTGAGAAGCACAAAGCACAAAGGATTAACTATTTTTTGTTCACTTAGAGGAAATGAACGTAAAATTATAAAAAAAAAACTTGAGTATGTTCGTTCAAAAAACATTACAACACGAGATTGCAAAACAGACTGACCCAGAAAATTGTTGCAAAAAATGGACGCAAGAGCTAAGATTGCTTACGACATATCAGAAAGTAAAATCAGAACACAATTGTAGAAATGAGTAGCCAAAAATATTTATTGTAAAAGGATACTGTATTATCCATGATTATCAAGAAAAATGAATCAATAATACCTATTGTCGAAATGGTAACATCTGAGCATGATATTCAATCAATCAATTAATATATTATTAAAAAGATATCGACATTTTGTAGAAACAAATCGAAAAAAATGGCCATTTTTCAAAGTTGTTGCGGTTTGGAGATTGGAATAGACCTTAATAAATTCCCTCATGAACGAATGGAATAAATGTGATATTATAGATTACTTAAAACGTGTACATTTATATTTAGATAAAGAGCTGACAATTGATAATACACTATTAATTGTGCATACATTAATTGCGCACATTTTATGAAACGTGTGTCATCATATATGCATAAAAAGTTTCCAAAATGTATTAAAGACATTTTTACACGAATGTAGCAGCAATGTTAATGAGTACAAAAATATTACAATTAGATAAAATATTTAAAGAATTTATAACTGTTCTTTTAACTCGTAATGTAAAAGAAGCCCAAGTATAATAAGGCTATAAATTTCAAAAAGATATTTATATGATTAATAAATAAAGATGAAGAATAATAAAGAAGAAAATCAAGATTTTGAATATGAAATATAAATGAAAGACTAATTTTTATTGCTTCTTCCTTTTTTGCAAGATATAATAATAAATATGTAAAATTAAAAGAAGAATTATTAAGAGATGATGATATTACTAATAAATATTACAATCCTGAAATCGCAAAATATATTACATACAAATTGATGTCAGTTGTTCCAATGTGAACGAGAATTCTCTTATCGTTGATTAGATCTGTTAAATAATGCATATGTAGAAAGTTATTTTAATGTAGCAAAGACAGAAATTTTACAAGGAGAAGTAAATTTAAAAATTGGTCGCTTTATTAATAAAATGAAGAATTATGTCAGCAATCTTATTGCTGAAGCAGCGCTTAATATCTCACTTAAAAGTCGAAGTACAATAAAGCGATTGTATTTCAAAAGTCCACTAAATCTATTGGATTGTCCGGAAAGTTCATGCTGATTTTGAAGGAAAATTGAAACGCAGAAGATTTAAATTTTAGTATACATTTATTAAATTATATAGGTGCCATTCTGTTCTACAACTTTCTCCATCTTTCAGGCAACTTGAAAATTTCGTTCTTCCAGAATCTCTCAGGTTTTTCAGCGAAAAACTTTTCTAAGTGATTTTTTACCTCGACCAAAGAATTAAATTTTTCTATTAAGGGAATTTTGTAATGATCGAAATAGGTGGAAAATCAGAGAGTGCGAGGTCTGGTGAATATGATGGATGGGATAGAACATCTCAACCGAGCTCCAACAACTTTTGTGGAGTTATCAAAGACACATAAGGCCGCGCAATGTCCTGATGAAACACGACGCCTTTCCGATTCGTTATTTCTGGACGTTTTTGTTCAATTGCTGTCTTCAATTCATCTAATTAGGAACAATATTTCTCTGAATTTATCGTTTTGTTGTTTGGTAAAAGCTCATAATACAGGATGCCTTTCCAATCCCACCAGACACAGACCATAACCTTCTTTGGATGAAGACCGGCTTTTGGGGTGGCTAAAGGTGGTTCATTCCGCTTTCCCCAAGATCTTTTTCGCTCAACATTATTGTAAATGATCCATTTTTCATCCCCCGTCACTACTTCCTTCAAAAATGGTGTCTCTTCGTTGCGTTTATAGAGGGAGTTGCAAATAGAAATGCGATCCATCAAATTTTTCTCCGTTAAATCATGGGGACCTATACACCGGTTCGGTTTATGTAGCCAAGCTTCTCAAAATGCTCATGGATAGTGGATTTTGGCATATTCAACATTTCTGTTAATTTACGTATCGTATAGCGTGGGTTATTCTCGATCAGTGTTTTAATCTGATCTTCATCTGTGGTGGAGGGCCTATCCGGGCATTCTTGATCTTCAAGATTGAAATCACCAGCTTTAAATCTAGCAAACCACTTCCGTACAGTTCTTTCAGCTTACAGCACCTTCACCATAAACAACGCATATCTTGTTTGCTGTTTGTGTGGCATTTTTGTCTTTCCGATAAAAGAAAAGCATTAAATGCCTAAAATGCACTTTGTTTTCTTCCGTATTCAAAGGCGTATAAAACTGACAAAAATTAACGTATCGCAATCAAATTTTTTTCCAAGTATGCCTGAAATACCGTCTTTACGATATGTACGCATGTCATTTGTTTTCAATCATTCTGATATATTCAGGTCTTTACATCACCTACCAAAAATCGGCACGAACTTTCCGGACAACCCAATATTTGTAGAAGAAATGTGACAACGTCGTAAAAAAGGAAAAAAATAGTCATGGAAGAACGACAATTAACTCAGATAGCGAAAAAGATAAAGCCAATATTCTCTGTTAGTACACCTATACATGATATTGAACAAATTGAGCATAGACAAATTCTTATGCAACAAAGTAATAATTCGCATAATTAAGTTTTAAATAATGATTTATTTCTTGATATTGAATATTATATGCAGAACACCGAAATAAGTATAACTATTGTCATTATTTTGCAATGAGAAATACGCCAATAATATTAAATAAAGAATTCTATTTATTTTCGGACCAATAAAACATTACAATCAGAGAAATGGATCGATGGAACAATTATAGATTGCTTTACTGTTTCTTATATAAACCATTGGAAAAATATTGTATATGTATCCACAAATCATATGATATTTATATTGGGTGATTATTCTGATTGAAAACCAGACGAAAATTTGCTGTATAATGTAACTGAAGAGATACGTGGAAAAATGTTATTGCCTTATTTATATCAGTCACATTGTTAGTTGTTGATATTGATGAGAAAACTATTACATTATTGGATCCATATGAACATGGCTCATCAAAGATAATAAAAGAGCGACAACTGTTTTAAAAATTTTTGAAAGATTATCCAAAAAAACATCTTTAAGCAAAATGCAAAATATTGAGTTTAAAGAAATTGAAATATCTAACCGTCCTTTCCAAAATGATGCAAATAATTGCGGTTTGTTTTACATTATTTAAAATGTATTGCTTGAAGACAAAGATTTTGATACATCGGTAGAACTTACATTACTTCGAAACGAAATTGCAGAAATCTTTCTTTGTAAGTTAATTATAAAAGATATATTTTAATTATGAAAGATAATTATGAAAGATATATCTTCGTTTTATTTCAGTATTTGAAAAAAAAGTTGGTAATGTGTAATTTATGTAGACATTGGGCACATCCACAATGCATTGGAAGAATCAACGAAGCATACAGGAATGGGAAAATCCTAATGTTACATACACTTGTACATTGTTCAAAAAAAGTATTAGGTATTGGATGATCAAAAATGAGTAACTGCTGTAAACTAATTATAAAACTGTTAATTATAACTGTAATCTATTTTTATCAATCGAAAAATGCATAAATAATCTGTTAGATGATGCTTTCAGATATATTGTATTTATACTATTATATGCAATATTATTTGCAAAAGATGTCATGTTTATGAAGAGCATCATATGTTTAAAAAATGTTACGTCTGCAAAAGAGTAACTGTTAACTGTAACTATAAACTATAAATGTAAACTGTAACATTAATTTATTTTTATTACTTGAAAAATGCATAAATTTATTAATGGTTTAATGATTTAATAGTTTATTAATGGTTTATTTATGGTTTAATGCATAAATAATTTTTTTTTTAAATGCTATGTCTCCGAAAGACATCATATATTTAAAAAATACCATGTCTGTAAAAGGTATTATATATTTGAAAAATATCATGTCTATAAAACCCATCATAAATAATATATTATAAAACATCATGTTTATTAAAACAATATATGTATATATATATA